ATGATTACAAACATGTTTTAGAACTGTGCGTTGCGCTGATCGTGTTGCAGTTTTATTTTTGACAGTTTCAAATTATAGAATTGACGAGTAGTTTAAAACAATTTTGAAACTCAGCATTGCGAACGGCCTTACGTGTTACCGTCGGATGACTTAATGCTTGTGGAAAGTTGGAGTTGAAAAATCACTTGTAGAGACTCGTAGTGAATCAGCCAAAATGAAGTGTCAGGTGAAATACTGCGGCCGGAACAGCAGGAATTATCCTGGATTGGGTTTTTTGCGCTTTCATACTGATTATATGACAAGATCCCAATGGATTAAGTTCTGTCGGATGGATTCCGGAACCGGCGAAATTAAACCAAGCTCGCGAGTCTGTAGCGTAAGTGTTGACGGTACAAGTGTTTTGCATTTTATCAATGTTGCTATGATCTTTTTTAATTATTTGCTGGCCCATTTCTTAGAGGACTGCTTCCGCGTCGATAAAAATGGGAATAAAACGAAAAAAAAAAGATGCGTTCCGTCGATTGAAGCTTTCTTGTTACCTCCTGAAGACGAACCGGAAGAGAGCGATCGGTTGTTGGACTTTTATAAATCCCGTCCCCTCTACTCTTCGCCGGCTCTTCTGGATCATAACTACGCGAACTTTGCTGCTGTGGTGCCATGGCCATGGCCATGTGGCAAGACTTCGGAATAAGCACGAAAAAAGCACAATTCAAAACGATCTGTCGATAGATCACCCTGTCGATCCCACTCGCAGACTTGAGTTCGTTCCAGACCGGGTCCATGTTTTTAAGAATTGCATCCACGGATGGATTTCCAACAATGTTATCATTCTTCCTTCATGGTACATGGAACAAAAAGGTCTCACTCATAACGAAGTGAGAACGGATCATTTGAAACAGCTGGTTGAACATGAGCGGAACCAAAACCTAAAAATGGCACACAAACTCACAGAAGCTGATGTGGACTTTGGGAAAACCAAAATCTCAAATGTAGACAAGATGAAACTGAGCAATTCTACAGAATACTGCAATCATTCTGTAGCAGCAGCATTAAACGTTTTGTCCGATGAAGCCGATTATTCGTACATGAAATCCACCGCTGTTTGTTCTTGGAGGAATTAGCCCACTGGTTTGATTTTATGTCCTCAAGAACAGATAACGATGCATTGCAAGTCTCAGATCGTGCTCAATATGATTTCAAAATCAATCATTTGAATATGATGGTTAAATTGGTATCTGAAATCAAGGTAGACGTTAAATGAAACGTTTGATTACATTTTTAATTAGCAATTGCTTCACAGGTCGGTGTTGATGGTCATTGGAAGCCATGGCAAGCTACTTTTGTGATGGTCACGAAAGCTATTCTAAGGATGCAGAGTAGATTTCTGTTCGATTCCGGATATTCGATTCTTTACACTTCACGATTTAGCCAGGACTGTGTCGAGAATCTTTTCTCAGTTGTTCGGTCAAAGCAACGTAGACTACACTACACGTAGACTTACAGTTCAAAAGCCATCTGCAAACAATCACATTGTCCCAGTATATGCAAGACGTCAAAAAACTCTTCTTACAACATGGACGACAGAGAATATTTGTCAGGATTTATGGATCACTTGAACAACGCAGAGCAACTTCTTCAACACAATCTACAGCGATCCTGGAAGAAACTCTTGATTTTTCGAAAGCTGAAATATCAACCACAGATAAACAGACATAATTATCACAATCACATTTATCGCAAATAATGTTTTAGTTGGGAATGTGCTTGCATTTGTCAGGGTGGTGCCACTGAAGCAACCAAATTTTGAACTTATCAGTGATGCCAGTTCTTTTTCACGTCTAGGTAGTAGATGACAGCTCTTGAAAATGATAAGTGGTCAAGGCATCCCACTGGAGACACACACCACGTCTGACGAATACAGAAAAAATAGCTATTGAATATTACATCGAAAGTGCTGCACATTAGTCATTCCGTTCCTAATATTACATATTACGCTGTACGATTAACATAGAATTCGAGAACAAATCATGTTGATGTATGTAATATTCTATCAACTTATACCCAAGTTATTGATGTTCAATACTTCACCATGAATTTCATTGATTGATACATATTATATTTTTTTGCTGTACACACAAATCCCTTAAAAAAGTCTTAGCTTCTGAGAATTTTCCCTACGGATCCGTATTTCTGCAGAATTCAATCAATTCTATAGATCTACGAAAAATTTAGTATGTAATGTTTTGTTTTTATTCAACACAGCTGACGTGTTGACAGAACGAGGGAACAGCAACTAGTGAAAAAATGACATGAACGAGGGATGCTCTAGTTGCACATCAATGCTTGGGAATGTGGATGATAGATGGTGCTAGCATAGAGGCAACTCTAAGACTAGAAGGTCCCGAAATAACGTGCTCAACTTTCTGGCTCACCTCTGGTACTCTCTTCGGTCCCAAGCTAATCGATTCACCCCTCGAAACATAGGAAAAACCAATAACCCCTCATTTTATCTGTCAAACTTTCATAGCGAATCAAAACAAACATTGCGTAGTACTAGAATTTCGACTAGAATAGGGTACGTTAATCGTTTGCTTGGGACCAATAGGCTACTAAAGTGGTGAGCCAATTTAAAATCGTTCGTTTCGTATTGATTGTTGGTGCTAGTGCACATGCAAAATACGCTTGACGATATTTTTTGAAGAATTTTCTTCTAAGAGTTATTTCTGTTTGTCTGTGTATCAACTATGGCGAAACAGATCCTTCTAAATTTGAATAATGCCAAAACTAACGCCTTACACACTTAAACTTTTTTCGCCGAGATTCCAACAGCCGGGTAGCTCTGCAATTTATTTTGCTGATATTCAGTAAGACAATTGCCGACACTCAGCTAACAAATAACGTTTTGCTGAGATATCAGCTAACAAACAGATATTTTGCAGAGATATCATCAAAAGTAAATGCCGAGGTAATCGGCTGTTGGAGATTTCACCGAGCTAGATTAAGTGTATATTTCACAAGATTGTATAACTGCGATTCCGTTTGATAAAATTTATGGCAAATTCTCATGTTTACTAGCAAAAGCGAGTGGAAGGCCTCATGCCTATGTTTCGAAAGAAATATTTTACTGACAAGGCATCAACTAACAGAAGTGTAATCCTTCAGGCACAAAATACATTGATGTTGCTGCCGCTGCAAATTCAGAATTGCCATAATATCAAATTCAAGCTTGTTAAAAGATTTTTGCTCTTCAAAATGAAAATTAATAGAGTTCGTAAAATGAGGAAAAGAAAATTTGATAGCCGAAGTATGTTGAGTTGATTTGAGCTGAAATTTTGTTGTTACCAACTCTTATGAAATGATGAATAAATGTGTGAATATTTTAAGCATTTCCTTTATTTACCAATAACAATACATCACATTAACAAACAATCCCACAAAGATGGTCAGATATAGACATTTGAATACCGGAAACAAACCCGTACCCAATTCATAAAAATTTCAAAAACCCGAACCTGACCTGACCCCTGTAATTAATGGAATTACATTCAAAGTGTTTTTATGTTACTTCATACGCGAAGTTAACGATTTTCAGAGTTGGTTGGAAATGCTAACATGAAGCTTTAGTGTGATGATTTATTAGCTAGAGAATGATCTTTAGAAGAGGGTAGGTGGATAGTTCCGTTAGAGTACGGCAGTATGAAAATTGAATAGAAGTTGAAAATGAGCGAAGGGCCATTATGCGACAGTTTATGAGCAAAAAGAGGAACGCACATTTTTGCCTGTGGACTTGGAGACATACTTCAAGTCTCCGCGTACATCGTACGGGTTAGGCAAAAATGTGCGTCTATCTTGAAAAATTGTCGCATAATGGCCCTTCGCTCATTTTCAACTTCTATTCAATTTTCATACTGCCGTACTCTAACGGAACTATCCACCTACCCTCTTCTAAAGATCATTCTCTAGCTAATAAATCATCACACTAAAGCTTCATGTTAGCATTTCCAACCAACAATGGAATTAATTTAATTACGGCTACTTCCTGTGCCGGAGTTGAAGTTTTTGCGTGCCCCTTGATGCTACTCGTACCCAAATATACCCCTTACCCGATCCGAACTCAAAAATATTTTCTTCGTATACTCGTACCCGACACGAACCCGAAAATTTAGAGTAACCGTACCTGAATATCTCTACAACCCCCTCCATTTTGAGAAAACTATCAAATCAACGATATAACATGCTTGATACACTACAATTTATCTAAATTACATACCGATTCCTGAACTGAAGAAACGAAAATTTTGCAGTGCAAATTGTTTTCAAACAAGAAAATATTTTGTATTCGATATCAATACTTCCCATTGATTGATGTTTTGTACTCTGGCTCCCACTGACAGTTTGTGACAGATCATTTCTGGCTTTACTTGACATTCACATTTTCCGAGTCTGTTTCTCCCTCCCAGGTTTGGATGATACCCCGAACACGTCGTAAGGCTCTCTTTTATGGTTATTTTTATTAGGGCAGGGTTCTTACCAACATAATTTTATATATTTGTAGTTTTGTTTACCTTCTCCTCCTCGGTTGTGTGTACGAAAGCAAATACTTGCGACTGTGACGCTAAAAGTTTGACAGTTCTTTACTAAGGTGTCCAGCAAACCGTTTATGCTAGCTGAATTTTTCGGTCAATATTATTTGCCATTTTCAGCAATACTTTTGTGTTGCTGATCATGGTCCAGCAAACCGTTTTACTGTTATGAAAACTAAAATTTGGTGTGTAAGTCATTGTTCACAACAGCAGTTTCGCCCTTTTGAAATGTTGAAGGAGTCCTTTATCCTTTATTCAAATTCGTCTACCTTATAACCTAAACTGAATTGAGTAAATTTTGCCTCTATAGTCTAACCCATCCTCACATTGACCTTGCTCGCTGCGCTTCTGAGAGCAGGCGTTACTTTTCTGCAAACGTCAGAGAAAGAAAACAATCCGTACGAGTGAAAAGTTTTGTAGTCAAAGAGTGTTGTTTTCTCTGCGGAAAATTATGTTTTTCTAGGGAATCTAAAGTGAAATCTTGAAAATGGCAGGATTAACCGATGTAGACAGGTAAGTTATCGGTGCCTTCTAACGTGGTATGCAGCATCACAGCTATTTTGGGTGGTACAATAGTGATTTCGGAGTGGAATGGAGCTTTGTCCAAGCGCTCAGTGACCACAGCGGCATGGAATAACCGTTCCCTATTCGCGATTTTCAGCCCGTTCGTGAAGACAGAAAATGCATGCAAAGTATGTGGCTCGTCGGAAGGGGACATGGAATCGATCTTCTGCGATGCGGACGATACCCGGATGCTGAACAAAATCTACAAATGCACCCGAGTTGAGGTAAGATCGGAATGCGCTGCAAGATGGATAGGTAGCGAGCGGTACTAGTTTGTTTACATCCCTAGAAGGATTCGGTCTTGTGCCAGGGTTCTAAGACGTAACGCTCGTGGTGGGAACGCACTGTGTATGGCAAGGGGTGGTTAAATGCTGAAATAAGTGGAATAATTATTAGTTTTTTTTTAAATTGTATACCAGAATTTCAAAAAAAATCTTCAGGGATGCCATTAGTCCAGGGGCCACATTGCGCATCTCGAAACGAAAAACTTTTTCATACAAGCGTTCGTACAAAAAGTCTTCCGTTTCGAGATGCGCAATGTGGCCCCAGGGGAGGAAATCAAGACATTATTAATAACACATTTAATAAAAAATGGTTCGGGATGGATTCAAAGTAAATTCGGGAGCAAAGCATCAATTTTCCCTAAAATTGATTTTTGTCATTTTTTTAAGGTTCAAATCAAATAATTTTATTATAGTTAAGTACTGTATTCAACAAAACAATCAAAATGTGCGAAAACATAAGGCATATATGTAAAATTTAAACAATTTTTAAAATGAAGACTGTTTTCTTTCCAATCATTTCCTACACAATCCCTTTTCAAACAGGTCACACCGGTTTGCGGGCTGATATCACCCATCTGTGAAACCTGTCGCAAACGTATCGACGCGTACGATGAGAACGCCAAACCGAAGGTGGTTGAATTTGTAATCAAAAACGAACCGGATCAGGATGCGTTGGATTACGATCCGCTCAACTTCCAAGACCCCATGGCTTTGGACGGGCCTGGTGGTGGCGAGGAAGACATCTTCGAGGATGTCAATGTTAAGTTGGAGATTAGCTTTGGCGATGGAGACCAGGAAAGGGTGACTCCCAAAGAAAATAAAAGGAAAGGAAAGGGTATTCGCGGAGCGAAACAATTGCCCGAAACAACGGATACGAAGCAGATCATTGAAATTAACGAGGAAAAAAATGAGAGCACGGAAAATGAAAAGGAAAATGTTCCTAGAACACGAGTTGCCAGGAAAGCAGCGGAAAAATTAGCCGTTAAAGCCGACTCCGGTAGTGAGTCGAGTGATTTCGAATGGGCAGGGGGAGAAGACTTCGCTGACGACGATGAAGATGCGAAATTAGACAGTGATCACAGTAAAGGAACATCGGAGGATGAAAAACCGTTGAAGAAAAGGAAAACAGCAAAGAGAAAACCAAATCCTACGGGAGAAAAGCGGAAGAAAGGAAGACCTCGGAAGATTCGACCGGAAGGGAAGGAGATAAAAACTCCGGAAGAATGCAAAATCTGTGGCCGGGTTGTGACGTACATGAGAGAACATATGCGAATGCACAAGATTGACAAGCAACACAAGTGTCCGTATTGCGATCGAATGTTTGTACAGGGGAATAACTTGAAATATCACATTCGGAAACATTTAGGAGAACGGCCGTACTCGTGTGAATTGTGCGATAAAACGTTTTACTGTGCACCGCACTTGAAATCTCATATGGTTAGTTGAAAACATTTGTCTTGGTGGTGTTGGGAATTAACATAACGTATGTCGAACCATTTCAGAAAGTACATGGACCACAGGGACTTTTCCAATGTGACAGATGCCCTAAAACGTTCAACCAAGAGTGCAATTTAAGAAAACACATTCGGGTTCATACGGGTAAGATCTAAACTACTAAAAACTCGAAATGTTCACCAGGATTTTTTTTTTTAATTTCTAGGCGAAAAACCATACAAGTGTTCAAAGTGTGACAAAGCGTTCAATAGTACTTCAAACTTAAAAAATCATCAAAGACTGCACGCCGATGATCGTGCGTTTACTTGCGAACATTGTTCGAAGAGCTTTGTGGACATACTCCATTTGCAGCGACACATACGGGTTCATACTGGTTCGTGTTGGCTATATATGCATTAGCAGGGTGAGATTAGTGTTGATAATCATCTTCTCTTTCATTAACAGGATATCAGCCATACATTTGCCACGTTTGCTGTCATGCATTCAACTGCCAGAATGGAATTGTTGAACATTTAAAATCGCATATTCTTGAGCGAAAGGAGCTTTATTCAAAAGCTCCGAAAGGTTAGTCTAGGTTTTCAATAAAACTATTTGTATGTGTACCGACCAATTGAATAATAGGGAAGGTGCTTTTGTTATTCCGAAATCACCTTAGTTGAAAAATGAAATGGAAAGAAATATATTGCCCCATTTTTGACTAGGGGTGCGCGGCACTAAAATTTTACAAGCTTTAAAAACAGTCCAAACCAATCCAAGACAGAAGACGAAACATTCCTTTTCTAAGCGTAAGCAGCAGTGACAAGCGCTCACAAAGCAAGATCGAATGTCTCCAAATGCGTATTGCACGGTGTCTCTGCAAGAAAAACTTATTGAAAAAATCAGTCGCTGAAACACCCACCGAACAAAAGTTTAGGATTACTCCTTTCATATGAGACTAGTCTGGAAATTTTTTATCAGGAAAATTAAAATCATTTTTATTTTTTTTGTTTTGTATTTTCCAGTGTACATCGAGCCTAAAATTTACCACTCTCGACCATTGAAGCCCAAAAAATGTATGGAAAAAATAGAACATTTTAAAACTAGCCTTAAACAAAAGAGTTCACCTAAAATTTCGTTTAGTAGGTGTTTCAGAGATATTGATTTGTATTTTATAATAATGTTAAGCTTCCAGAGATACCGTGAGCATAACATAGTTCTGGTGCACCAAAATTGATGAAATTTTTAAAGCATTTTACGAATATGCAAATACCTCAATACCCCTTCTTCTTGTTTGGGTTTATTATGTCCCTATTGGGAGTTAACACCGGCTAGCAACTCAACTTAGTGCGTGCCTTTATCAACTGAGCAAAGGGAAGCCACAACCTCCTATACCTCTAATGAACTCAATATGCCTAATTAATCCAATTCAAGCTAATTTGTCAAAATCAGCTCAAATACAGTATTCTCCCGCTGATCCGGAAAATTCGTGACCGGATTAGCGAGGTTGATCCCATAATCCGACTGTCAAACCCATACAAATCAATGTATAAAGGCTCCATAAGAAACCGTGATGTTGGATTAACGAGAGCCTGATTTGCTTGGGATACTGTAGTGAATTCAAGCTAATTTGTCTAAAATAACGCAAATCGACGGAAAAGACCCGGGAAAAGAGAATCGTTTGGCTGAAAGTCTCTCATTTAAAAAGGGAGTATCCCATTTGGCATGATACCGCTTGGCATAACACCGTTTGGCCAAGGGGTTGGTCACTCTACACAGTGTGCCAAAATCAAACTTGGGCACACCCGGGTGCAGTCATTGGCGTTGTTTGGCACCCATGGTTACAATTTTTATGAGCTACTGGCAACACTGAACTTTTTCTGCGCCTGCGCAGTATGCATATGTCAAAATTTGTTATTGATGTTGCCACTCCTAAGTCAAATTAGTTTCAAAACAACCGTGAATCTCCACCAAGTCTCGCCATGGATTTTCAAAATCGTTACACCCGTGACGGCAGTCGCATCCACATTTCCTCCCAGACGAAGAACAGCTAACAGCAGTATCTTGACCTGACCGAGGTTTCTGGCCATGGCTGCACGAACTAGCGATGCAGCTCCCACGGCTGCGGCTGCTTCCAATGCTGCTGCTGGTCCGTTTTTTTTTACGAATTTTAGAGCAGACGGACCAGCAAAAGGAACAGCAGCAGCAGCATTGGAAGCAGCCGTAACCGTGGGAGATGCATCGCTAATTCGTGTAGCCGTGGCCGACGCTGGAAAACTATACCATCCGACCATTCGAACTGCTTGAATACATCCATGGCGGTGGCTGCTTCTACAACCATTCCATCGTCCTTCATATAATGTTGGAGGACCGTCTTGGCAAAGTCTCAAAAAGTTCAACCAATTATTTTTACTCTCCTGCCTTTTTGCACTTCCAACTAACAGCTTCATAATGAACGGGAGTTTTGTGCATTTGTGATCGAACGCGCTGTGGTTGCACTTCATGATGGCGTTCATCACCAGGGCTACGCTCGGGATCTCGACCAATCCGGAGGAGGAACTTTCCGATTTCAGCGGGATCATTCGCACTTGCGACGGGTGGCAGTCCTTGGTGGTGAATGCAGTCAGCAGCAGATCCTCGGACGGCATACGGGTGGGGTATTGAAGAAGTGGAGAATGCGATTTTTGCTGGCCTGGGAAGCGATTGTTCTTGGAGGCGCTGTAGACCTTGAAGCTGATCGAATTGTCCGGCAGGGTGTACGGGTTAGTGGACTCTGACAAGTAGTTCTGCTTGGAAAATTGGCTGGTCCGTTTCGGGTCAGCGGTGCGTCCTTCATCAGTCCGACGTGTGTTCCGGCCGGTGTTGGTTTCAGTGTTGGCAAAATCAGAAATCAATTGATATTTTTCCGCTCTCATGCGCTCGCAATATCACGCGTGATATTGGAACAAAATATCATGCTTGATATTGATTTTACAAGCTCCTTTGATATTGCGAGGCTATTCACAACGTGCAAAAATTTTTGGAGGCGAACCAGCCTAAGGCTGAAAGCCTCCTAAATAAAGCTAAATAATAATAATAACGTGCAAAAATCAAGCTGAGAGTTGACTCGACACAACAATGATTCCATTGCACATCGTTTTCTTAGAAAGAGAAAGCATAGTTTGCTATCTCTTTTTAATCTTCACCGATGGCAGACGTGAGGGACTGCTGCAAGCCGTTATGGAAGTTTCGGTTGCATTCGGGTGTAAAGCAAAAATCATTGAACCCAATCTCACCACAGTTTGGTGAGATTTGCAGTTGGTGAGTTTTGTTAGCTTGATATTCCGAACTGTGATATCACAGCTTGCAAAATCAACCGCAGTAGTTTGCTTGTTGATTTTTGTCTACGAAAATCAAGCGTGATTTTGGGCGTTGGTGTGATTTGATTTTTTGATATTTTCCCAACACTGGTTGGTTTCCAGTTTTACAGATGATACTCGGGCGGTGAAAAATTAGGTGCTAATCCGTTTCCTCCGCCGGCTCCCAGAAGGGTTGGTTGACTAATGATTGACGTTCGTTGTGCGGGGTCGGCCTTCCGCCGAAGATGGAAGGATCGTGTAGCAACGGAGCTCGTCCATTGCATGCATCCTTTCCTTGGAGACGGATGCATCCAGTGTGTAGTCCCAGCTGGAGTCCGTATCGTTTTTGAAAACATTGAAAAACAAAATAAAAACAAGAGCTGTTACAATTCCGGGTTGCCAAACAAGGCATTATTCACAAGTAATCAAAAGTCAGTTCAATGACTTATTTGCACTGCCGGTACAGCTGCGGCACACTGAGGTACAATGAGAAAAAAGTTGCCGCAAAACAAGTGTGTAGAGTGGCCACCCCTTGCGCTTGGCATAATTTCCTATTTTCGACTAAATTTTCACTAGCGACCTAAAATATCCATTAGTACCGTCCTAATGAGGCGTTCATCTAGATAAAATTGATAAATAGCAGATTTTTAGCGATGGGCCCAATCTTAGGTCCATAGGTCAACATTTGAGCCATTTCCCCTATTCCACGTAAAGATGACCAACAATACAAAACCATCCATGGACCTTACTGACTACCATAACCATTACCATTAAAATTCTCAAACCATAAGTAAAAAGGTTCCAATAGTTTTTTTTTTTCGAAAATGTATGGCGAAAACAAGAATTTTGAATGGTGATGGTTTTTAACAACCCATTTATTTGTAAGGTTCCCGCATAAACAATAACCATAAGATGCGCCTAACCACCAATTCGGGATATCATCCCAATTTTATGTGGTATGGTCGCACCATCTAAGATATCGTCAGTGTATGGTACACGTTTATTAGGGTTCATTTATAAAAAAAGCATTATAGATAAGGTTAAAACTTTAACACACAAACGTTCATGTACAGTTTCATAACCATTTCAGTTACAGTTTAGCAGGGATTATAGACAGTTTTTAACCATTTTCGGTAAGGTCTAGTTATGGTTCGCGTTTATGCGTGGCCCTTTAGGGGCAACCCAGCAACTATTATTTTTATTGATTAATTATTATTTATTTATTTTTTGTTTCCTTTGGTTTGTTTTCCGTCGATCTTGTTTTCCGTGCTGAACACCAAGCTACCGACGCGCCAGGAAGGCAGCTCCCACACCTGGACCCTACCTATCGACCCATCAACTCATGAATCGGGGACTAACGGCTTGAGCTTGAGCTTAGAGATGTCTGGGATTGAACCCAGGCCTGCTGGGGTGAGAGGTAATCACGCTTAACACTACACCATCGGCGCCGTTGATTATTATTTATTAAATATTAATATTTTCCGTGCAGCTTTGAAATCGTAACGCCTGCCCTTTCGTAACGATCTTGCAAGTAGTAAATGACAGCAGCTGTCGTCGAAGCCTTTCTGTCATTTCGTATTTTCACGTTCATTCTTCAACGAGTTTGTTCTTAAAGAAATCACGGGTACGTTGTGCAAAAATTGAAAATCCCGGAAGTCTTGCCTTCCATAATCCGATTTCAATTGCTATTTTTACAGAATCAAGATGTTTGCTCGCGCCGCCGCCATTTCTCGCACCGGAATGACCAACCTGGTCCGGTATTCTCACTCCCAGGGTGGAATCCCCGGTGAGGTAAGCACAGCCGCACCATTATATAATGTGGCATTTTCTTTCGAGCATTATTCTGCAGTGAAACCCTATATTGATTTCCGTTTGCTTCCAGAACCTGCCTTTCAGCTTGACCAACCGCTACAAGCTGACTGCGTTGTTCATCGTTTTCCTCGGATCCGGACTGGGTACCCCATTCTTCGTTCTGCGACACCAGCTGCTGAAGCAGTAAGAAGGTCACAGTCAGTGGTGGGAGTGCTATGCTATTATAGTGGCGGGATGGGCGAGTGTCTGGATTAACCTGGGGCTTAGTTCATCCGGTCGGAAATTCTTGACCGGTGAAGATCTAAAGTTCAAGTATAATAGAGCCGTAATAAAATCAAATGGAGTAAAAGTTACGCAGAAAGTGATGTTTATTCCATTGCATAGCATGAAAGGATGACATTTCTATTAAGTTAAAAATGGTAGTTTGTAGCGTAAGATCGCCAGTCACCGCTCACTGTTCAATAATTACTATTTTCATGCAAATATTGTAACAAACCCAAAAAAAAAAAACTTAGATTTTGAACTACATTCAATTTAAGATGCTTAATTGGGCGAGTAGCATGATTTCTCCAATCCACAATCCAAACTTCTTCACCTGGAGTTGAAACAGTCAATAGTGGACCCTACACGACAGTTTGTATTGACAATAATCGTATTGTCAATACATTTTAAGTGAACCCTACACGATTGCTTTTATTGACAATAATCGTATTGTCAATACATGCTATATTGACGTCAATATAACGAGATTGACAATATTTCTGAATTCACATCATCAATATTATTGTCAATAATTCCCCTTCACGTCAATATATTGAAGCGTGTGGGGTTTGCTTTATATTGACGTCAATACATCGGTATTGACAATATTTCTGTATTCACATCATCAATATTATTGTCAATACTTGTAAGTATTGACAATATTTCTTACCGTGTGGGTTTCGCTATTAGCGGTTCAGGATTTTCTTTACAATATTTACTCCAGTGTCAATCAAGGTGAGTACATATAGGTGTTCTAATGTGCCAAATTCAAGATTCAGTCATGTTGGATGTGTGTATGGAGGAGCGACCGAGTTTGTTTACAATTTGCTCTACAACCGCACTTTCCCCGCTGCGATCTCCTCGCCAAAATAGTAACAAAGCTGTATCGCCATGCTGAACCCATCATGGGGCCAATCACCGACGGATATCGATTGCTATCCATTGACAACACGATAATCGAACGTTCATGGAGGCAGCTTCACACCTGCTTAGGATATCGCACCCCTCAGCACACATGGGTCGGGACCATTGATTTGTATGCCTCAGAAAAATCCCACCGACCTCGGAAAGAAGGTTTTTAAGAAGATTTTAAAAGAGTCTTTTGGAAGCTCATTGAAGACGCTTGCCCGTCGCTTCGCTCTTCTGCATAAAAAAAAACACATGAACAGTAAATCTGAGTAGCTGCGTAGTAAAAGAACATTTTCCCCTTGTTTAAGGAGCATTGCATCGTTTTAATATTGCGCTTATATAGTTGCCTTGCCATTATATTACCTGTATTTATTTGAATGACATCGTTAACAAACGAAGAGGAAGGAAAATAATGACTCGTCACTTGTCAAACATTTGAACTGGCTGGCGCTACACATGCAGGTACACGGTAATGACAACTTGTCGCCCAAACGGATCGCAATGTTAAGCGCATTTTTCAATTTCAGTTTTCCAGACAAACATGGCACAAAAAAATCAACCCTTGCAAATGTGATACCTGGCTGCATATTCCACACCTACCCACAGGTGGAATGATTTTAACTTCTTCGGGTAACATTTTATTCAAATTATCGGTTGCACTGATTATAGGCTGTTGTTAAGTAAATGTTTACCTCCCATTCTCATACCACTATACGCATCGCGAGCACGAGATTCGCATATGCATGGTGTGTGGGTTATTTGCTCTCACAGTCGATCAATCGAGCTATCGGGAGTGAGCACGCTGACAAACATGATTGCGGGTGGATTGCTCTTTCGAGCATCGTTCATTACTTTTAAATTCAATTAAATGTTCAGGTAATCCATCTTAAAATAGATAGGTAAATGGTAGTATTCGCTCGATCAGACTTCAAAAATTTCGCACCGTTGAACCATGCTCCGTGGTTTCTCTGAAGATTCACCAGAGTGCGTCCTCGGGTGTACCATAAGTTCATACACATAGTGTGACTCTACGGTGCGGAAATTTAAAGTTTAATTGGGAGAATGATAGCATTAGTTTATCTATTTAGGGGTCGTCCATTAATTATGTCACACATTTAAGGGGAAGGTGGGTTTTTGAAAACTGTGACGAGCCATACAAAAAAAAAATAAGGTCCATACAAAAAATGTGACAAAGGGGGGAGGGGGGTTGAAAATGGGCCAAAATTGCGTGACATAATTAATGGACCATCCCTTATATCTGTAAATTCAATTCTGAACTGATTTGACTTTAACCAGATGCATAAATCAACTCAATAGCGAAATAGCGAAGGGTGGGTGGACGGAACTTTCCTCTATATAGGAAGCTCCGGTTAAAAATCCGGTTTTCAGTAATTCCGTATTTATTGAACTTCGTTAATTAAAATTACTGAGGTACTCAGCTATCGACTTACAGCATTTGTATATTTTAGCTAAAAGCTTTTCATAAAAGTACTGACTTGTCGTCACACCAAAGCAATCATTTCAGTAATATTTGACAACTCGCAAGAGTCCCTGATCTACCGAGTACTCAACATCTGGTCACATTACCGAAAAGATCGCCGAGTACTCAGCTGTTCTAATCTCGTCAAAACATATACCGAGTTCGGTGAAAAAAGTTAGTGTGCATATTTTTACGATCTCAGAAATTGACGCGATTGTACCTGTCTCATAGCGGACGTATGAGAAATTGAAAGAGTTGCCAGTCTTCTTGATATGTTGTCTTCACTTTAAGTCTAAATGAAATATGGGATGGGGAAAAGCCTTTTTGAGTTAGCATAATTGATTCAAAATTGCGGAAGAATCCAATATACTTTCACAAAACAATACAATTAAAGGATCGTCCATTAATTATGCCTCGCAAAATAAATTAAACATTAAAAGGTGGATAGTTCCGTTAGAGTACGGCAGTATGAAAATTGAATAGAAGTTGAAAATGAGCGAAGGGCCATTAATGCGACAGTTTTTTTTTTTAAGATAGACGCACATCTTTGCCTAACCCGTACGATCTACGCGGAGACTTGAAGTATGTCTCCAAGTCTACATACTTCAAGTCTCCGCGTACATCGTACGGGTTAGGCAAAGATGTGCGTCTATCTTTAAAAAAACTGTCGCATTAATGGCCCTTCGCTCATTTTCAACTTCTATTCAATTTTCATACTGCCGTACGGTGTCTTGCAATGAGCACTCACACACCTAGTTTTGACTGGAAATCCTATGTATGAGTGCTATATTACGTGATATATAGACTGTAATGTGAACGGGGTATAATGATAGGTAGTTTCGTCTCGCGATTGTGAGAGGACCTGTTTTCGCTTTGTCACATGACGGCCGTGATATTTACCAGCTCTGTCTCGGGCAACGACAAGTAAACCATCCGTAGGGTGCTTGTTGCTTGTTGTTAATATATATATCATAAAAAAAAGTCAATGCTTTTAACTGTGATGCTTTCTTCTAAAATTGTGAAAGGAAGAGAATCGGATAGAACCGAAATTCGCAGGTTTAGCCACCATCTCGGCTCAACAAACGAGTTCGGCTTCACGCTCTCATCAATTTAATTGTCAACAATCTTGCTTTTCAAAATTTTGTAGAACCAAATCACACAAACGGCAACGATCACGTGAGCCCTCTTCAGCGATTGCAACATCAGCACCAGCTTTCCCCAGTGGCTGTAGATTTCTAATGCCATCTGATGCGTTCTGGTGTTGTCTTTGTCGAGCGGTCGGATGAACTTGATCACTCTATCGAGTTTGTCCGGTATCAGCTTGTCCAGCTGGGGATCTTCTGGATCATCGTCTTGGTTTGGTGCGGATTCCACTGCTTGTTGTGCTGTTTCTTCAAAACAAAACATTTGGGTTACCAAACATCAAATTTTTCACAAACAAACAATGCCAGTCCGATTTTTTTTTTATTAATTACTTTATTTGTACAGGCTCAATCGAATAAACTTTACAGAGCCGAGTTATCATTTTCGTTATACATTATTGATGTCTTATTTTTAAAGTTAAAGGAGCTGGACCGGATACTCGCGGTTGTCTCGAGGTTAGTGGAGATTTACAATTTTTTGGATGGGAAAGGGAGAGGGAGGTTTGAGATGTGGTTTACGATACAAATATTTTATTAGTCCTAAAACATGAACTAATTTCTATTCATCTTGAAAACAAACATAAAAAGAACCCACACGTACAAAATACAAACTAAACACAAGGTTAATCAAACTTACAATCTAATGTTAATATTCTTAAAGTAAACATATAAGAGTTTCATAAACTCCAGATCGCGTCTAGCCAAAATATCCCGAACTGGAACGTTAGGTTGGTACAGTTCAGATCTGACTCCGCGATGCTCAGCACAAGACCAAATAATGTGATCTGCGTCCTGGTAACCTTGTCCACATTCACAGAGATTGCTGTCCTTCAGCCCAACACGGATCAAGTGAGCGTTTAACGAATAGTGATTGGACATGAGGCGAGACATCATACGAATGAAGTCTCGACCCACATCCAACCCCTTGAACCAAGAACTCTTCGACACCTTAGGGATGATCGAATATAGCCATCGTCCCAAACTTCCTTCACTCCACTTATTCTGCCAGCTGACGAGTGACTGTTGACGATAAATGGAGAAAAATTCATCGTAGGCGATTTGTCGATCGTAAATATCGCCTTGCATAGCGCCCACCTTTGCAAGCGAGTCCGCCTTCTCATTGCCCGGAATCGAGCAATGAGATGGGACCCATGCAAAGGTGATGACAAAAGATCTTAAAGATAAAGCACTTTAAAGCTCTCGTATTTTCATGAGAAAATACGAGGAGTGCTTTACCGGCCTCATAGAGCGAATAGCCTCGACAGAACTGAGACTATCCGTAAAAATAAAATAATGATCTGGTGCAAGTGAGGCGATCGTTTCTAGCGTATAATGTATTGCCGCCAGTTCAGCATCATAATTTCACAACGGGTGAGGAGCCTGAGGGATACTTCCGAAAACCGATCAGAGAGTGGCAACATGCCCGCCAACACTTCTAGACTCATCGTATGAGTCGAGTGCATGCATCCTAACGCGATACGAAGACAACGATACTGGATACGTTCCAGTTTGATGATGTGAGTTTTAGCCGCCGACTGGAAA